CCATCTGTGCTTATATCAACATACGCCATATACAAAATGCCAGATATACCACTGGGTTATCTATATTTTCTGGATGAGACCTATGCCATATTACAAGCAGGAGACCTATTCTAGCTGTGGTCAGAGTAAGAGATGTGACCACAGAGGAAGGAAGAGCATCAGGACATGGGGACATAACTCACCCTTTTGGGTTGCTGACTGAAGTTGAAGGGATGGACCATGTGTCAGAGATCAGTGGTGTCTAGAATATGGACAAGAAAGGACACTGGTTTCATCCTGTAAGTTTGTAGAAAGCTGTGACTAAGGAAACCTTGGCTTTAGCCCATTAAGTGCTATGTTGAGTTTCTGATCTATCAAACTAAGATAATTGGTGGTTTTTTTCCCCACCTGCCCATTTTCAATCCTACTTAAACCTGCTGTATGCTACACCTCTGGCTCCCACCAGCTCTTCTTCCAGGCATTTAGCTTCCATGAATTCTGATAATAACCTCTTCACTTTCAGAAACAGTGATGCTTCCCCAATGGTATCTATGCCTAGTCTAATCATACTGTCCTCACCTCTGTTTCCTCCCAGAACTCATAAGTGCAGTCTTGTTCCCTTAGCACAAAATTAAAGGGTGTTAAAGGTCCCTTATACTTAGGAAATGAGCATATAGCAAGGGTGTGGGGAAAGGCCATGACAAACTGGACAGATTCTGTAAGTAGTTTCAGTTTCTCACAACATTTCCATTCCCATGAGGTGTGTCAGTAATGTTCCTTGCAGTCCCTTTATTATCTTCTGTATTGGTTACATTTCCACTGCTGTGATAAAATTCCATGACTAAGGTAAAAGATAGAGTTTCTTTGGGCTTATTGTCCTAATTGGATGGGAGGCCATAATGGAAAGGAAACATGGCAGTAAGTGGCAGGCATGGTAGCAGGAGTAAGAATCTGAGAAACCACATCGTTAACACAAATGTAAAGGAGAGACGTGGTTTAAGACCATAAAGTCTCAAAGGCCAGTCCCATTGAGGAACTTTCTCCATCAAGGGTAAACCTCTGCCTGCCCCCAACCTCACCAAGTGTTCAAATGATTGAGCATATGTAGACATTGTCACTGAAATCATCATGGCCTCCCCACCCCTGCCACGTATAGAAATATCTTCCCTTCACAGATATTCCCTCTTATTGTTGCAATTTCTTGTGCTTATAGTCTTTTACCTTTTTTATTTAACATCCATTACATGAACAGATCTCTGAAAACAGTATTTCATGATTAGCATGCCCTATGTTGACATGCTCCTAAGAGAAAGATGGTTCGTAGTAAGATAGTCCCTCACTGCAGAGCAGGCAATGCCAACTTCTTTAGAAGCCCCAACATCAGGAACCCCTATAGCTCTCTGCTGTAGCCAGAACTGGCATCCCAAACAGCCAGGCTGTGCCTTCCAGATGCTCTGCTAAGTGCTCAAACCCATTCCACTTCCTCACAGTGTGTACTGATCACAGAACACAGGGCCCGGATGATGTAGAGAGGTTACCTGTCCCAGCTCCTTGATAAATGAAGACAGGGAATCCTTCAAATATTGTGCTGGGATTGAGCAATGTTAGGGTTAGTTCAGGGAGTTAGGCTACTTGGGAATTTGAATGTATCTCTCTCACAAAACTGTGGAAAGAGAAGCAAATTACTTTCCTTTTGTCCCTAAACTTAAACATCTGGAAAATGAAGGTAGTAACAGTGTTTATCCCAAGGTTTTTGGATGATTATAGAAGACAAAATCAGAGACTTTATTATAACACATGCTACTGAGATGAAAATTAACCCTTTATATCTTCATGCATAACTAATTTTTGTAACCTAAAGAAAAGATATTCTCATCTACAGATTGTGAATCAAGGTTCAAAGAACATGGACAAAATCCACAAATACTTGCTCAGGGGAAATGAATCAAATTCAGATCTTCCTGGTTGTAGAATCTATCCCACACACATTCTCTGGTGCTGTGACACTTTTTATTTGCACAGTAATAGCAGGTTTGTGTATTCAGGATTCAGACAATGTAGGCTACTGTTGGATCTTTCCTTCCTCTCAAATGCAACCCACCTTTGTCAGTATTTTCTTTACACCACTTAGCACTGCAAGATCTCATAAAATATATTTATTTGCATATTTTTCAGGTTCCTCTCTGAAGCTGCAATTTATCTGGCAAGCATTGCTTATTATTGGCTCTGTCCACTAGTGTATTAACAGTATGGAGAATAGATGCCTACAATGATATGATAGATGTTCAAAACATTTTAACACAAAACGAAGCAAGAGAAGATCAATAATTAACTAGATGAATGAAATTCCTTCTCTCTTCAACAACTTCCAGCACATCTACTGCTTTCTTGCTAGGCTCAGTCACAGTCACTCATTGAAGGAAAGCAGAGAATCCCATACCAGAACCCCTCCCCTCTTATTATATTTTGCCACATGAATCCATCTTCTATTTCAATCCATCTTGCATGAGGCAGTATGAACACACCCTGCCCCTCTGATAATGTTCAATCCTGCCTTAGAAAGGTTCTGCACTTGGAATTCACTAGCACACCTCCAATTCAACCCGCTCATAGGCTTTCCTAGCCCTTTGCAAGCTTTCCCATATTGTTTTCAGGCTAAATATTCTCATTAGCTGGTACTTTTTTCAAATCCTAATTATTGTTGTCTGTTTTAGGTTGAATGTAACTACATTGGTGTGAGCCTGCCCCCAGGAAGCTTCCTGTCTCTTCTTCTTCCTCTCATATGGCTTCTCCCTAAAGATTTGGGCCAGCTAAAATCATCAAAGATCATTTTTTATTTTCATTTCTTCATAGTTCTATGAAAAAGAAAATTCTAGACTCTTAAAACTCAACACAAATCATGCCAATATAAGGAGTTAGTTAAAATAGGACAGAAATAACACACACATACCCAGTTCAAAAGAAGAGGACTTTTTAGAGGTAAGAAGATTTAGAACAGAGAAAAGCCAGCCTGTCCACCAGGATGTGGGATGGTATAACATCCTGATCTGCATTTTGCTCTTTGGTATTTCATATACTTTGAATTGCTTTTCTCACTACCTGGTTTCACCACTTCAGCTTGACAATTCCAATTTCTCAAGCAACCCATAAAGCTTTATGTGCTAAGTGCCTGTCGGTGTTTCCATGATGTTAAAAGTTCATATTGTAAGGTTTTGAGAACATCACATGTATCTAGCAATCCTGAAACCATCTATGCTCAAAACACTTAGTTAAGACCACATCCATTATATAATGTTTTAAACTCAATTCTCTAAAAATGTTTATAAGTATACATTTATACACAGAAGATCCAAGATGCGTTCTTAGTAAAAAGTTTCACTTATTTCTAAATGTTCCATCTATTTTTTTATGATGAAAAGAAATTGCTTCTATACTGAGGATATATTATTATTATTAAATACTATTATATTATAAATACTACATACTATTATTAAAATGAGATATATCTTGAACCTGGCATATAGTTAGACGTAAGAATGCCAATTACCTTTTCTCCTTCGGGCCCCAGAGAAAACCATCACTAGATTGTAATTTAACTCAATATCTGTTACTTCTGCAGATTTAACAAAACTTCAAACCTGACCCCCCAAAGTCTGTATACATATGCATATGCCCTATGGCTTCTTCCTTGCACACCAACCACAAGTCATTAGTAAGAAGCCTTACTTGATTGAGCCTGACCCTGGACTATGGCATTATGCAAAAATCAAAGGCACATCTGGGAAGAGAATTCTGCCTGAACAGCTCAACTCTGAGGGTCTGGGAGCTGTTCACAATCTTGGTAAAAGAACCACAGGAGCAATCATGGCCAACCGAGCAAAAATGGACTGGCACCTCAAATGATCCAAGTCTGGACTCTTTAGAAATAGGAATTAAAAAATAATAATTCCTTGTAGCTATAGGCACTTAATCTTCCTGTGCTACCTCCCAGCATACTGCTATACAGATTAGTTTTGCCACAACAAGACTGCAAAGATAGAACTGTTTTGTTTTGTTGACATTTTAAAGGTCTAAGTGTGGGGTTAGTGATCTGCCAAAATCCACATGAGTGGGCTGGAGAAATGGCTCAGAGGTTAAGAGCACCGGCTGCTCTTCCAGACATCCTGAGTTCAATTCCCAGCAACCATATGGTGGCTCGCAACCATCTCTTATGAGATCTGGTGCCCTCTTCTGGTGTGCAAATATACATGGAAGTAGAATATTGTATACATAATAAATAAATAAATAAATAAATCCACATGAGTAACAAAAACCAAAATTGGGATTTATACCCTTAAAAACTTAACTCTAGACCCCAGCTACTTTTTTGGAGGCAGAGGGGAATCTTTTGGTCAATACCGTGTAGTCTGACCTTCTGGGGACAGAAAGGACCAGAGTCAGGAACATAAAAAGGGAACAATAATAATGTGTCATAGAATTTTCTGAACAACCTGTACTCCATCCATTAAAGTAAGTTGTTCATGATGAAGACTATAATGAGACCAAGCATGTTGAGAATGGCCTGTAAAGGCAGAGAAACATTGTTTAGTCATCAATGCTTGTTTTTAGTAGTTCTCTTTCCCCTGGGATTTTCTTTTCTCTTCCTTCCTTATTCTCTCCTCCTCTTTCTCTAAATCCTCACCTCACCTCTCTCCTCATTTTCCACATACACCCCCTGCCTTGTGGTTATATAACTCAAACCAAGCTCCACTGAGTATATATGCAATATTTCCTGCAAATTGTTTAGAATTTATTTGGAAGCAAAATACATAAGAATCAGCTTGGATGGAGAGAGAAGGGGAAATTTCAGTGGGTGCAAGAGAGAAACAGGAATGCATTCTACTATAGTCGCAAGAAGACAAAAACAAGCTTCCAGAATGAAGACAAACAAACACCAATTCACATTGGGTTAATTTTAACTTTGTAAATATGTAAATGGTGATGGCCTATACATAGCCTCATGAAATGGGGGCCACACATACCTCCAGGTGGACACTGTGCCTTTCCCTCCTTTGATTCCAGCCTTTTCTTTTGTTGATGTTTTGGGATGGCCTCTGGTTTCCAAGGTCCTTTCTATTCCTGATAGTCTGCAGTCCTTATGGTGCCTACCAGAATCTGAAAGAAATGGGATACCGAATAATAGCAAAACAAATATACTCCAGCAGGACCATTTAACTCTAGCAGTGTTTTCTAAACACACATTTTGGCTGGCACACTGTTCCGTGTAAGTCTACAGAACATTGCCATTTGCATTCTAATCCAGGCTGTGTCCCTGCCTTGCTGGGAGATAGATGAACCTCTCATTCTTTTGGTGTTTTAATTTCCTCAGTGGCTAAACCCGAAATCATATATCCAATCTACCTTTCAGAACTTCTGAATGGATTATAGAGAAACCTTTCATAATGTGTTGGCTTAAAAGATTTCTCTCTGAACCATATTGATGCTTTCAATATTCTATTTTCCCCCAACAGTCATCAATAGGACTCACAAAGGAAACATATCCATATAATTGGATTAATTTCTATAAATCCTTGGATGATCTGAAAATGTTTGGCCATGACTAATCAATGAATTTGAATTTTTGGCAAGTGGTAACCATGTGCACATTTCAAGTATCTGCCCTTTTCTGCATAAAACAATCTGCTTTACCTAATTTGGGGAATATAAATGTTAATGTTCAGCAGTATTAAAATGCTGTTTCATTGGACTAAATTCTCTGATGGCATGAGAAATCAAGATGCAAAAGCAGCCACATGGATGCCAGAGCAGGAAGTAGTCCAGAGTCTCTCATGTCAGATTGTGACAAGATTTAGGTTGGAAATGATTTCTAAAAAGGAATCTGGTGAGGGGGGCACTGACTTGAGGTTCTGTGCACCATGGCCTATTGCATCTGTGTATTCAACCCTCATCTCAGCTCTACCACTGCTCCATGTGCTAACAAAGACTAATCTGAAAGCCAGGAAGGAGATAAAATGTACCTATACTCAGTGGACTGACCATGACCAAACCCTAGGTACTATATTAGAGTCCTCGTTCAGATGCTGAACTAAAAATCTACAAGTTTACTTCAGTCATGAATGCCAGCCAACAAGCTGACTAGCATGTCTTCATTCATGGGAGAAACAATTCCTGGAAGAAATACTGAACAGGAGCAGTTAGGGAATGAAAGGACCATGTGTGTTCCCTCCTTTGGAAAATCAAAATGTTATATGATAAAGACAACAGACCCATACAAGCTACATAACATGTAACTGAGGTCAATATTTAGAATAATTGCCACATAAAAATCACCATCCTGATTTATAGAGTATTTGTGATATGGAAAGGGCTTCAAATGAATCATCCCAAAGTTTCATTCAACACTCAAAGGTTCCTGTTACAACTCCATGTTAGAGATGAAGCATATGAAGCTTAAACAGGTAAATGGTGATCATAGAAGCACTAGAAGAATGAGTACAGGATTTATTTTTGATATATATATATATATATATATATATATATATATATATATATATATTTCTGTCATAGCCCTCAAAGAATCCCTATGAGGTGGGTATTAGTGTCATATACATTAACCTTTTTAGGAATCAGATGTATGAGATATTGGGGAAGTACAAAATCACATGACTCCCAGATAATAAATTTGGGTTTCAAATCTAGGGAGATTGGTTCTAACAAGGGGGCTCATAAGCATTGTTTGCTATTCTGAATTATACAGAGTGAGAGCACAAAGAGAGACCTGAGACTAAGATCTGCATTTTGTAGACAGCATGCTCTTTATGTCCAACTCTAGCTGCTCTTAAGAATAAATCAGGGAGTGCTTTAGATAGGAATTCTACTGAAGAATATGATAACTTTCCCATGTTGAATATCCCAAGTTCTCAGCTAAGCTTCTTATTCATTCCTCAATATTGAGGACTCCTAAATAATATGTCAAGCACCTTCACTGTTGCTTAAAATGATAATTCTTCTCTTGCCTCCTCAGTTGACTTTGGGTAGACTCCCAAGACAGGATCTGGGCCCATCACCAATGTCCTTGAGTAAGCAAAGATGAGAGCATACCAAGGCTGGGAAACATGTGTGGCTCTTGCAGGAATGCACACTAACTGACATTAAGACACAGTTGTTGCCTTTGCTTTTCTTTATTCCTCACCTTGACAAACACACTAAACTTCACACATGGGGAAATACCATGATGAGCATTTTGGGAACACAGGTTCCTTTCCCCAAGGAAAGCAAACACTACTGAGGAAGACTGAGATATTGACAGCTAGGAGTAATACGTATTAAAATGATAAAGAGTACTTTTTGACTCTTCATCCAAGCTCAAGTTTCTGCTATGTGTGAGAAAGTTAGAACCTTCTCAGGTACACTCTGGAGCTCAAATCAAGGCACATGAAGGTGAGCTATCAGGCTTTCTAATATGCTGAATTACCATAAATGAGTCCTGGAAACTCTGCATGCTTTGGAAAGTGCCCTGGAGAGCCAGGGAGATCATCGTTACTATTTTATTCTCCAACTACAAGCTTACAACATCCTCTCTTCACTGGGCTGTGTCCCGGAGAGCAAAATAAACTCAACAATTTCTTCCTGCAACATCTCATGAATATTGATGCCTTCTTTATTTATTGTTTGGCAAAATATGACAAAAATAAAAATGCACTACAGCAAAAAAGAACATGAATACACCCAAAATATCTAGCTACTGTCAGAATGCTTGTGTCATCATCATTATCAATAAACACTCACTTGACAAGCATTCGGCATGTAGTACTTGGCCCCCTGAATTCTTTCTTACCACTGATTTTTCTGAAAAGGTGTGGGAGATTCTTTGGTTGCTACTCAGGGATTCTTGTTAATTTTGGAATCGCAGGGACTTGGTGTAAACAATAATGGGACAAGTCGATATGCAAGAGCAGCCTTCCAGAAACAGAAAGGCCCCGAACTTTTCCGCAGAAGGCTTTGTGCTAGAATCTCAAGTGTCGAAGACAAGGAGAATTTAAGCAGTTTGGATTGAAAGGAGTTGACATAACCCCTCTATCCAGTCTCTGTCTCACATCCCAGCACTGCCCGAAGCAGCTGGAAGAAACCTTTGAGTTTGCAGAGCACACTTGCAAAGTCCCTGATCCAGTTTGCAGAGGAAGGCCCAGAATACCAAGCCAATTAAAGCAGCAGAGGCCACAGAAACAAAAGCAGAGTTGGGACTAACATCCCTGTCCCTCAACTCTCATCCAGTAATCTTTATAAACTGCTTTTCCTGCTCCCTACAGAGTGTTGGTTGAAGGTCAAATGAATAGAAATGTTTATCCAAACAGCTTGTTCTCCAGCAACTATCCTCTGAGCTTGATCATGGGTTCCTGGAGCCATAGTGATAAGCAGGCAGAGGACTGGCAATAGGACAGAAGATATTAAGTGCAGAGCATTATAGTTTATAGACCTGGGATAGGGCATACAAACCCTGACCATGAAATTCCTTGAGCTCTGGGAGAGAAAAGTGAGTCTGGCCATACCCATCATTTGACCAGGATTCCAGAGCACATCTGTCAGTTTCCCCTGGTTAACTTTATCCCCAAGAGGTCCCAAATTCAAGGCAGTGCCTTTGAGTCACAGGAACAACTCTTACGAAGGACAAAGAGTAGTAAAATAGTTGTATGTATCATGTTGTATATGTAGTTCAATAAAGGAACACTAGTATCCAGCTAGACATTTCCATGTAAGTCCCCTCTGTGTAAGTCACAGCATGCCAGTGGGCATATCCAATATATTCTCCAGTAATGAAGACATTCAGTCCCACCGTCACTGGCTTGTGAATAAATCCCTTCACTAGCTAGCTGTATAATAACTGTATAATAAGCTTAGCCTGAGATAGCATCAGATTTTATGCTGTGATTCTGAGATAGTCATGAGCATAGTGGAATTGCTGCTCATACTGTATTCTGTGTCCAGGTTGCTCCATACTCTATATTCTTTCTCTTAGGGAAGATGTTTTCTAATATTTAAAATAGGTATTCTGTCAACATTCTTACACTTTTTCATAGAGGAACTGACTTTAGCCTACCACATTTACAGTATGACCTTCTCATACAAAATGTACTTGAGGAGCTGAAGAGATGTCTCAGCAGCTAAACACACTAGCTGTTTTTCCAGAGGTCCCCAGCACCAGCACAGCAGTTCAGAGAATGGAACACCCTCTTCTGTCCTCCAAATACACCCAGCATGATGCACAGACATACATGCAGCTAAAACACCACCACTACACAATCCACCCCCACTAAAATGTGTTTGAGCAATTGTTCCTCCCAATAGCCTTCAGCTACTAGAATTATTACTCTTTGTTTTTCTGTATGTTAGAAAGTTAAAAAAATAACTCCTTTACACAGAAGAAAAATAAACTATTAAGTACAATGAAAACATGCACATTAAAAAGTGCTCTATACAGTTGTGATTTTGTTATTAACTGTCTTGTGATTTTTGAAAACCCTATAATGTATAATGTGCTGAACTGTGTCATCAAATATTTAAAATTACATGTGTTCAACATTGGAAAAGCATGGAGACATAGAACTAAGAACCCCATGTGACCTCCTTCTGTGGGCTCACTGTACATGTCAGTGGGTGTGGCCCCCATGTGACCTCCTCTATGGCAGCACTGTATGTGTCAGGAGGTATGACCCCCATGTGATCCCCCTCTGGGGTCACACTGTACATGTCAGGAAGTGTGACCCCCATGTGACCCCCTCTGTGGTAGCACTGGTCACATAGTGAGTGTGATCCATTTCTCCAGCCACATGAAAAGAGGCTGAGCTCTGATATCCTACTACAACTATGAGTTTTAGATGTACAAATAGTAGATTAAGGAGATCCAAACATACATGCCCCTCCATAAAAGTAATTTTCAAAAACCAATGTAGAACTATGGGAGTCTACAATTTTAGGATTCTGGAAATAACCAAGAAGTTACAGCACTGTAAGGTAACCAGAAAGTGCAAATTTGTGCATTTGTCCTCATCTTATCCCCTGCTAGACATCTTGACCGTAGTCCTGAAAACAGGATGCATTCTAGGAGATGGCCCTGGATGGAGCTGGGAGGAGCAAACTGACCAGGAAACTCCTTG